GCCAGGGGGGGACCCAGCCGCAGGTGACAATAGCCCAGCCGCAGGTGACAATAGCCAACGGCTCCTGGCTTTTGGGCTCACGCCGCCTTCCAGGGCTGGCTGCCGTCCCCAGGCGTGCGTACGTTCCTGTGCGAAACGTATATACACAGGCATGCGTGTGTACGGGAGAGAGATGCATATATGGGATTTGATTTATCTGTAATAGCACGTATAAAGCTTTTCAAGGTGGCTGCAATGTAAAAAGTAATGACTTTATTACCCCTGAAAGGTTCTGTGGTTCACAGTTAACAGTCCTCTGAATTACAATTCATTACGCAGTTGCGCGCTCTCTGAAGCCAACCTGCATCAGAATACCTGTGGTTATTCCCAATAAATAACAGGCAACGTTTCATTGATTTTCTTTAAAAAAAAAAATCATAGCAAGTTAAGCACTTAGTTACAACTAAATCTGTTTTATTATCGTACCGTGTTTGAGATTCCAGAGGTGACTTCCCAGACCGCATCTTAAAACCTACACTCAGGAGCTAATTTTACAGATGCTCTCATGAATGGCAGCGAGGATGTTCCTACCATTAGCATGCCCTTAATTCCAGCACCGTAAAATGCCTCGAATTAAATGGAAACTCGCTGCCTTAAAAACAATATTTCATCCTGGCTGGATAATTATTAATGTTAGCATTTGATCGCAATAGTGCTGTGCTCCCCCCGTCCGTCGTCGTCGTCCCCCCCCCAGCGCTTCGCATTGTCATGTGATTGGAGGGAGATAACAAACCTCAAGAAAGAAAAGGAGTCAGAAGACATTTTTAACACGGCATAACCGCAGATTAATAATGCAGGTGGGTTTGTATTTTATTGTATTTTTAGGGGAAGGGAACGAGGCTGTTTAACGAGCAGTCGTGGACACAAAGTAACTATATTTACAATCCTTGATGTGGCTTTCGGTGGGTAATAAATTATGACAATATTAAAATTATTTTCTGGCAGCCCAGTTAACTGCGTTGGGGACCGTAAAGCCCTTACTGATTCCATTTATGCCTTGTAATTACGGTCCACGGGCTCTCTCTAAACCCTTTGGTGTATATTGTGTGTAAACTTTTAGCTAATAGACCTTTTTTGAATGGAGGGACTTTTCTCCGTACTTCCTGCAGTATATATTCTGTCTCTGATCTCTGTATTTAATGGCCAAGTCCTGGTTTATGCTTTATAATGTGTTGACAAGTTTTCTAACAGACTTTCTGAAATAATGCACATATATTCACGTCGGTTAGAAACTCCACAGTATTTTTAGAGTCGAGTAGATCTATATCCTAATGCACTGAGAGGGAGTGTAAATCATAGAGGATTTCATAGCCCTTTCAGTAGTTTTCTGTATGAAGTATGAGCAGCGTGGCCTCCAGACGTAACCTTTTAGAAAAAAAGACAGTGCTTTTATTTTATGGTGTAAAGTGCTTTTAGCTTCAGGGCTCTGAACGTGAACGTGGTCAACAAACAGCTCTTGCGAGGGAGTTCGCTACAGCCTCAGCCCCAGCGCCGGGGCGCTGCCTTCGTGATGGGGGGCTTTACGGGGCCACCTCCGGCCGCGGGACCGGGCTAATCCCCCCTCCCCGAGACACGTTAACCCCAGAAACGCCGCCCCGTTGCAGCCCGCCCCGAAGCGCCCGCTC